TTCCAGACACACAAGTATCTTTTCGTAGTTTTCTTGGCGCTTCTGTTAATGAGTCGCTTATCTTAAATCCAACTAATATTTCGGAACTAAATCAAATATGCAACTCTTTTAAATCTGGAAAGTCGCCTGGATATGATAACGTTTCAATGGATATAATAAAAAGCACCTTTGATCTCATTTCTCAGCCTTTGGCCAATGTAATCAATTTGTCTCTTATTAAAGGAATATTTCCTGATGAACTGAAAATTGCTAAACTGATTCCGGTATTTAAAGCTGGTGATTCCCAGTATTTCACTAACTACCGTCCAATTTCGCTTCTTTCTAATTTTTCTAAATTCTTTGAAAGAGTTATGCACAATCGTATTACAAATTTTTTAGATCGTTTAGATATCTTATACTGTTGCCAATTTGGATTTCGTAAAAAATATTCTACAGCGCTGTCTTTAATTCATCTTATTAATAAAATTGCAACTGCTATTGACAGAAGCGAATATACAGTTGGCATATTCTTAGACTTATCAAAAGCATTTGATACTTTAGACCATCAAATACTCTTGTCTAAGCTTGAACATTATGGGATTCATGGGCTAGCACTTAGCTGGTTGAAAAGCTATTTGTCAAATCGCGTGCAGTTTGTCCAGTACAAAGAGACTTGTTCTATTAGGCTGACTCTGAGCTGTGGAGTCCCTCAAGGTTCTATATTAGGACCATTATTGTTTGTTTTGTATATCAATGACCTCCCTTGTGCTACTCGTCTTGCTGAAACTATGCTTTTTGCAGATGATACTAGTGTGTTTTATTCTAATCCCGATTTAAATTGTGCTATTTCTGCCGTAAATAATGATTTATCTCAAATTGATCTTTTTATGAAAGCAAATAAGCTCTCTGTTAACATAACGAAAACTAATTATATCATTTTTGCAGCAAGGCAAAAACCAGTCGGACTTCCCAATAAATCCTGTCTTGTACGATGAGGTTTTATTAAAACAAGTAAAGGTAGTTAAATTTTTAGGGGTTTTTATCGACGAGCATCTAACGTGGAAGCCGCATATTACTTATATATGTAAGAAAATTTCAAAATCTATTGGCGTCATGTTTAGGTCTCGTTTCTTTCTTTCTGAAACAACAAAAAGTCTCTTTATTATACCTTAATTTATCCTTATTTAACATATTGTACCACAGTTTGGTCCTCCACTTATGTAACAAACCTTAATAGAATTTTTCTTCTACAAAAGCGAGCAGTACGAATTATTACAAATGCAGATTTTTTCGCGCACTCTGAACCATTATTTTTCCGTTTAAAGATTTTGGACATATACAACATTAATTCATTCTATACTGCACAATTTATGTTTTCTTATTATCATCAATTACTGCCACCGCTTTTTTTCGAACCTTTTTGTTACTAGTAGCAATATTCATAATTATAATACTAGAAGTTCCTCGCATTTCCGTTCTCATGCCTGCCGAACTAACACCAAACAATTTTCTATTTTGTTCCAAGGCCCTAAAATTTGGAATTCTTTACCAAACTCAGTCACTTCGATTTTTACATTGCAATCGTTTAAAACGAAAGTTTTTGATTTTCTACTATATCGATAATGCGTCTTGTACTGTCCGTTGTTGTGTGTTGTTATAGTTCTATTGCTTAATATTATTGTAACGAGGGGGCCTCCTCGTACAAGCCTTGTGGTTTTCTGAGGTCCCCTCGCCACATCTTTGTATAATGTAATGCTTGTGTAATCTTTATTGTGGGAAAATAATAAATAAATAAATAAATAAATAAACTGCTCTAGCAGAGGAAGCTCGCTTAGCCACTTGGCCCATCTAGTTTGGTACTGATCAGGAATGGTGTCATCCCATCCGATATCTTCACGACAAAGGTCCTGAAGTATCTTCTTGGCCGGAAGTGTGAATGGCGCGGCAAAGCCCAGTCGGTCATAAATTGATGAGATAACAGATAAGATGCCCCTTCTTGTTGGCGGCTTATCATTAATAACTATACGGAACTTGAAGACGTCAGATTCTACGCACCATAGCACGCCAAGGGCGCGTTCAACAGGTAGACGGTCGTGACCCAGATCAAGGTCTCTAGCTTCCTTAGAACGCTTCTCCGTTGGGATGGATTCCAGAACAGCACGACTATTGCTTGTAAATTTTGTTAAGTTGAAGCCTCCGTGCTCACATGCTTGGCATAGACCTTGGATAAGCTCAATGGCTGTCTGCTCGTCTTTAACTGAACGAAGGCAATCATCTACATAGAAATTTCGGCGGATAGTATCCGCTGCAAGTGGACCACTTTCGTGTTCCATGTCCTTAGCAGTCTCCTTCAATGCAAAGTTTCAACAGCTTGGGGATGAAGCCGCTCCGAAGAGGTGCACCGTCATTTGATATTCCTGGATGGGCAACTCCAGATTGCCATCGGGCCACCAGAGGAACCTGAGGAAGTCACACTGGTCATCGGGCACCTGAACCTGGTGAAACATCGCCTCTATATCCGCCATGAATGCCACGGGCTCTTGGCGGCGTGTAAGAACTCCAATCAGAGAGTTGGTAAGGTCAGGGCCTGACATTAGTTGGTCGTTCAAGGAAGTGCTTCCGTGTCTAGCGCTACAGTCGAAGACCACCACGTATTTTCTGGGGCTTCCTAGGGTGGTAGATACCATGGTGTGGCAGGTACCATACTTTGCCAGGGCCAGCTTCCAGGCGGTCATCTGGCACTCGTCGTGCATAACCCTTTGCAATCATTTCATTCACAAAGTTGACATAGTCATCTCGATAGCTCTAAATCACGTAACATCTTCTTTCTCTGCCAAGTTGCTCGTTTCAGCGCTTGAACTCGGTTGTTTGGCATTGTCACCTGAGGGTCTCTGAATGGCAATGGTATCACATAATGGCCGTCGCGAAGGTGGACGTTTTCCCTTATCCTACTGATGAACTTCTTGTCCTCTTGGGAGTAGCCGTATTCATCAGGGCTAGACTTGTGATCGTTGAAATCTAGTTCAAACATTTGCTGTATGGCTTGGGGTGATATCACCTCTTTGACTGATTCCGCTTCCCGTACCGTGATTCTGTGACAAGTAACATTGCCAGGACTTGAAACGTTCTCCACATACAAAGGCCCAGACAGAGTCCAGCCATGGCGCAATCGCATTGCATATGGCCCCTTGACATCACTTTGTACAACCTCTAGAGGTTCTATAGCTGCAGGACAATTACTGCCGATTAATAGGCCAATCTCCAAGTTCGGTATAAACTCTGGTATCTTCTCAGCAACACTGCGAAGATGCTCCCACCGTTTGACTCCTTCAGGGGTAGGAATCTGCTGTTCGGTCACTGGTATCTCGAATCTCGTGTAAGACTGCGGTAACTCAACTGGATTCTTGCCTTCCATGTCCATCACCAACAAGGCAGAGACAACAGTGGTAGATATCAGGCTTTGGCCATGCATAGTGCCCAGCTGTAACTGCGTCTTTTTGCCATCAACGCTCATCTTCTCTCTAAGACTCTCAGTCAGAAAGCAACCACTGCTGCCATTGTCGTAGAAGGCATAAGTGGTGACGGTCTCGTCGCTGCCTTTCTTCTTTACACGTACTGGTAGGATGGCATGAAGCACAACTGATTCTGCAGGTCTAGCGGTACTACAGGAGGTAGATTGAAGGTTGGTACAGGCATTGCCCACTACCTTGTCATTCTCTTGTTTACTATTGTCCCTTGGTGGAATTTGGAATCCACTAATGTGAAGGGCTGAGGGATGCAGTCGTCCACAGAATTTACATTTCCGTCTGTTTGGGCAGTTCCTTGAGATGTGGTTCGTTCCGTAACATCCAAAACACATGTTCCTTTCTCTCAGGAAGGCTCTCAAGTTCTGGCGTCTTCTTGTTGAATAAATCACAGTCATCCAAATCATGAGCAAGGTTGCAAAGGTGACATGGGGGGCGACCATAGTTACTTGGAGGCCCGGCCCCGTATACAGCCGGAGGCACGACGGCTCCAAGTGGTGTCGTCACAAAACTGTTTTCCTTTGGTCTCCATGGAATTCCCGGTTTCCTTGGTGGCCTTTTTCCTTTACCAGGCGGTTCCTTTTCTTTGGGTTTAACATCTTCCTTACTCTTGCTAAGGGCCTCTTTGCGAACACCGGGTCATTGGCAGACTCTGACGATACTCCACAAATTTGGCAAGGTCTGCGAAACACGTTACACCGTCCTCCCTTCTCTTCTTCTTTAACACCTGATCTCTCCATTTAGCTTGCAAGTTGGCGGAAGCTTGGAGACCACCGACTGCATGTTTGGTGCATGGTCGAGCACACGCATGTATGAAATACTCTTCATAGCAATGTTACACTTTGTCAAGAATATTGACAGTCGCTTCAAGCCTTGGTTGTCATCATATCTAACAGGAGCCCAGTGGATGATTTTGTTGAGGTAAGCAGTGGAAATCTTGTGCGGGTCACCGTATTCTTTCTGAAGCAGTCGTCTGGCTTCCGTGTAACCTGCTTCAGGGTCCATGTGTAGACATCCTTGAATAAGGTCTGCCGGTTCACCTTGAAGATGCTGATTTAGATAATACAAGAGATCAGAACCGGTAGATGCTTTGGAGCAGATACGTGTATCAAAGGCCATAACAAAGGTCTTGTACTCGATTGGGTCACCTGTGAACTTAGTTATTGTTGGTTGAGGCAGTGTCATAGCAGCTGTTAACTGTTGGTGTGTTGCAATAATTGTCTCATTTTTGCTTCTGCTGTAACTCGATAACATTCTGAAAGGTACGTTCTGCTAACTGAGGTGATCGAGCTTCAGAGACTCCATGACTGCTTTCCTTAGAAGTTTCCGGAGACCGTTACCAGTCAACGGTGTCGATGAAATTCCATCTGCAAACAAGCCAGGGATGAAATCTGCGGCCTTGGGATTCTTGGGGGGCTGCTAACCTCCGTATTTATAGCTGGTGTCATCTCTTTGGTGGCAGAGGAGCCAAGCGGGTTGCGACTCACAGTAACGTTGTCAGGTGACGATTTTGCTGCAGACTTTAACACAATAGGTGTAAAGGAGGCAGCCACTGAAGGTGGACTTGAGCCAAGTGGAGGGGGGAGCCTCGTGTTCCTTATCAATTTCACTCAATGTCTTCTCCCTTGCTTCGGTCTTTGCTATTTCCATTTCAAGTTCCAATTCTTCTCCCGCAGCACGAAGAGCCTGTTTCCGCTTAAGCATCAATCTTTCAGCCTTTAACTCTGCTAGACGGACTCTCTCTCGGTCTCTTGCAGACAACCTTGAACTTGCCTTAGACGATCGTTCAGATCCTTTGCTACTTCTTCCATCTAACTGATCACTCAAGCGGGCCTCAGCCTGTGATATCCAAGCGTGTAATGGGTGTAAATATGCCATCATATCTTCGACCTTATCCTTATAATGGGCATGTTCATGGTCTTTATCCTTTTCCTGGGTTAACTCTTCATAGTAAGTCGAAAAGGCTTCCCTGTACTGTTCGATAATATCCTTCAAGATCATTGTTTCGTCCTTTACGAGGTGCAAGTTGTTAACATCAACCATTAGCTGGGTTATCTCAGTTCCCTTTCTGGATACAGATCGGAAAGCATTTGCGTATTGCCGTTTTAGTCTGTTGCGCTTTTCTTCTTGACCCTTTTCTGTCAAATTTCGTCTCCGCGGGCCTAGAGAATCTGGTAATTCGCCAGTGTTTGAAGATTGACTCAGAAATGGTTCTTCCATTTTTCTGTCTGTGTTTTCTTCGAAATCCTCAAGGATGCCTGGAACATTGAAGTCGTCCGTGTGATCCTGGGAACTAGTTTCGGCCATACGTGAAGCGAATCAACCCGCCGCAATTCTTTCACAAATCCAGTAAAATCCAAACAACGTTAACGTAAATTAAGCAAATAACTCCTTCGAAACACGCAGAACGCCGATGTACAGATTTTTCTTTATGAATGAGGCGGCAGAACTGCCTCAGGACCTTACAAATCGATGAGGCATACAATGTAAACACAACTTTAGTTTAATCCACAGAAATTCATGTACACGCTGTCAATCGCTACCATTGATTTTCCTTGCAAACGATTCCTTGTGAACAATGTCTTGATTCGGTGATACGATAATGCGATGTGAATGTGATAGTGCAATATAGGCTTAACTGATGCGATGCGACGCGATGCGATGCGGTAAAGAAAACTAAAGGAAGAAACAGAAAACTAGCATTACAAAGGCGAGCTCGGGGCGATACGAAATTACAATACAATAAGGTAAAGCAGTAATTCTGAAACTTACATCTGTGTCCTTGTTCCGTTATTGACATAAACCTTAGTCCTTAATCCGTTCCTTGATTCCTTTTAACCGTAGAATGTTCAACTTAAAACTAACACAGCGAAAAGCGTTCCGAAACGTTCAACTAGCGTGGTCATCCGGGACCGCTCGGTCCCAGGCCACCGCAACGTAAGTTTCTGTCATGTCACGCAGTGTCACGCGCAATGCTGCCGTGACACGGAAGGCTTGAAATTTTTGTCCATATTGCAAGCAAAATTAAACCGTGTTTTTTCCTGTTCTTGCATGTATAAACCTGCAGAAGTTACAGTGATTTGAAAGTGACATGTAGGGAAATCACCCATGTGTGGGAGAATCAGAGAGGAAAAGTCCATTTGAGCCCATTCTTTGGGGATTGGTGTTACATTTCACCCTCAGTCTATGATAGTTACACTCCATCTTAACTCCTGCAGCAAAGAAACCCGGATTTCAAAGTTGAAAAATTTCCAAGTGTAGAGCATATCTAGTGACTCTATTTTAGCTCAAAAGAAAGACCTGGTTTGTTTTTTGAGTACGGCTGTCTTTTGAAGAGGTATAACTCACGTACAATTAGGAGTTAAGAAACCAAACAATTCAGGCATTTACAAGACGGATTGGAGTAAAATAAAAACAGAAAAATAAGGTGAAAATAAAACTTATTCAGATTTTTGTAAAAACAATTTAAAGTTAACATCTGGAGTTCCAAAGGCTTACCTAAGTTTGGTTCAACCGTCACATCTTTTACAGTTGCTTCTCCATTCTTAAACGTTGGGTAGGAGACTTTTACCCTCTTAGCCCCATATGTCTCGACGTTTCACCTCTTTTTGTAGATTAAAGTTAACATCAACTGCAGCCAAGATATGCGTAGCAAATTAATGCCTATTTGAGTTGTTGGTTACGTGACATGAATTTTATATCAAGGTGTAAACACACAGCCACAAGCGTTCAAATGAATACTACTTTACGTCTACAAATTTCAGTGGGGCTTGTGGATGCACTTCAGGGAACCCTTAACCTTTTTCCGAACAAAAGTATTGTGAATTTTCAAACCTTATTTTTGAGGGTAAACAAAAGTGTTTTGTCATAGCCGTACCCAATTCCAGATGACAAAATTGTGTACAAGCTATCTACATTAATTTCGGACTTGCTAGCCCTAAGCAGGTAAAATATAGCTATAAGAACAAAAAGGGCCTTAAACCATTTGTACCTGCAGTACATGCCAACATAAGAGTAAGCGATCATCTTTGGCGCAAATTGGTTAAGGACTGAGCGGAAACCTTTTTTGGGCAAGAGGTTGGGCTTGTTAAAATTCCCCTTACCCAGGCATTATTGCTGAGCACCTCACAAAATTTTTCATACACCAGCATCCCTAAAAAAAGAAAGAAATAGACAAATCAGAATCAGTACCTGCTGATAGAAGTACTGACGTGGAACTTACATACAAACCTACCATCGGGCTCTATTATAACATGTAGAGGTACTGGTTTGAGATGGCCAGTAACACTAAAGTAAACCCTGGTCGAGCCAATCAGACTGATCTTGTCCGGAGTCTGATTCCTTTAAAATGAGGTTGTACACTTACTGCATCTGAATGTAGAGAAACCCTTGTCTGGTGAGTTTCATTACAACACTGTTATTGTACTCATTCCCCTCTGCTAGTCTTAACACTGATCTTTTCTTCCTTGTGACTTTAACAAAGTCAGTTTGGTCCTTGGAAAGCGTATTCTGATTTGAGGTATGAACCTATTTTTCTCTGCATAATTTTATATAGTTCATTGCTGCCCCAAAAAATCGCTTCTATTTTATCCTTGGATGGAACAGTAATATATTTTTGAAAATGCTGTTCAATCATGTTTGTTTTTGTCAGTCCACCACTGTTTGCTTGTAGATGAACTCGCCAATTCATCACCATCTTCCCAAAGCCTTGATTGTCTTTTCTGTGTAGAAAGAATAATGTTAAACAGCAGATTAGTGGGGTAGGAGGTCCATATAGTGATTTTTTTTTGTACAAGAACCCACTTTTCTTTGCCAAGCTGCCAAATTTTAGCCTGTAGGTTCTTAAATCACTAGGTTCTTACATGGGGATGTTTTACGATACCTTACATGGGGAAGAGTGTGGCGTTTAGGCATAGCCAGTTCTGTAATAGCTTCTAGTTCTGTTCATACTGTTTGGATGAAAACTATCGAATTTTTCGAAATGGAACATGCAGAGAAACAGTAACTCTAAGTAGCGATTCGCTCAACCTTTCCCTGCTTCCCAAAAAATATGTGATCTTTGTAAATAACGGCAGATGAAATCCCAGTGGAGGAGGGCATGTGGTAAAATGGGCCAAAAAAAAAAAAAAACGAATAAAAGGAATGTGGACTTACTATACCCAGGAGAACGGAGTGAGATTAAGTTTTACTTATTATTATGATTTCTTATGAGGGACGATCAGCCAGTGGGTAATGTTTTGAAACCTAATACTTCTAAAAGCTCTCTACCCGTTAAGGCATTTTGCCACTTGAGAGGAGGTGGAGGTGGTAGAGGCGAAGTTTCCTCTTCCATGGTTAAATATAGTGAAATCCAAGAAAAGTTAAAAATACAGGTCACTTTTGCTGTTGCTTGTGCGAGTATATTTTACATTCGAGCATGCACAAAGTTTTAAACCCAGCAAAAAGTACATCACAGTAGTTACATCATGGTGCAGTGGTTATTGTATTTTATCACTTCATACGACCAGCTGCAAACAGTATGAGAAAAGAAAGAACCAGAAAGCAGTAAACCTACTCTGGTCCCAAAAGTTTTCCTTGATAAAAGAAGAGGAGCATCACACGTAATGTACCTATTAAATAGATCAGTAAATTACCTTATATCATCTTACATTTGTTAAGTGTGTTTTCACCTCACATTCTTCCGTAAAATACGATAAACATTCTAGGCATAATTTCATGCTCAATGGTTTCGCTTTAATTGTGCAAATGATGTAATTGATGTGTATTTAGGGTAATTGTGCTGAAAGTTTAAAAACTCTCAAAAATTGTGCCTTCTATCTAGATCAGGTAGCAAAGAGCAAGACTTCCATTTGAATCTATGCACATACACAAAAACAATACAAACGTAAGAACACCTCACCTTCTTGGTAAATCCACTCTCAATTATAAGTATTGTGTTAGTGCATTTTAACAGACCCAGCTCATGCAATCGTTCATTCATAAGAACCTAGTAGAGAAAGCAGAACTAAACACGCACATCAAGCTCGGGTTTTCTATTCCCAAGTTCTTTCCAGACACGGCATTCATGACCTCTATAAGAAAAGGCCATTACTTTTCATTTCTGTCTAAACACGATCAAAGTCCCTCAAACTCTTGAAGCTGTTCCTGTTGCTGTATAAAACTGAGCCATTGGAGCATCTGCATAACATTTGATAAGCTGCAGCTATTTCATCTTTGATGGCCAATTTTAGGGCTGTAAACACACTTGGGCAACGTTGCTTTATAACATCAGCAATAACAGTTGGTTGTGTGTTAGCTACTCGAATGAATTCTTCAGTGTCACCATTGATGATTTTGGGATCGCCAGGCAGCAATTATTCATCCTGTAGTGCAGATGCTAGAGGCGAAAAGGAAAGAGTAGTGTCCTTCATGCACTCTTGTTGTATTGCTTGAGTTGGAGCATCTCCTAAGTTGAGTTGCTTAAAAAAGCTTTAAGAGGTATGACAGAGCTCCCTGGGTGAGTGTGTTGAAGGCAGGTTGCACAATGGGAAGAGCTTGGCAGAACACTTCACTGAACACTTCTGTTTCAGCTCCCTTTGCATTTGCATACCCCTTTCTCTGAAGTCACTTGCCCGGCACACAAATCCATCGCACTTCCTGCATATCAGTGTCTAAAGGGAATCACTTTTAGTGATCTCAATTCCACGAACATTTTGAATCTTTGAGGCAAGGTCTTCCTCACTGCCTGCCTTTTTACTTGCTCTACCATACACACTAATCAAATGATGGCTCTCAAATGCATCGCAGCAAAGACGGCAAATTAAATTTCGCAGATGAACCTTTGTAAGAGTTGATTCCTCCGTAAATACCCATACATTTCAGAATTTTGCTATTTCTACGCAGCAAAAATGGCAAGTTTCCCTTGGAGATTTTCGCTATGTCCTGGGAAAATTAATCACAATAAATTTAATGTATTTTTGAAGAAAAGCCCTCAGCCAATGAGGAAGGAGAATTGAGAACAGGAATTCATACATTAGCGCTCATATGAATATTTAATAAGGACG